TATATATATATATATATCTTTACTTGACTACCACAGAACACCCACAGAAGCCTCGAATCCACCCCGTAACCTCTGACCCCCTCTATAGTTGTGGCATGGGGATCATAAATTTTAGGTAGGCTGTTGTAATGTTTTTGTTTTTTTTTGTGTCTTAAACCATGTTTGACCAGTTAAAAATCTTATTTGGTTCCCAATTATATGCGTCAAAGCTGGCATACTTATTGAAAATTGAATTAAGGCAGATATTCCGAGACTAGATTAATTTTCCTCTGGAAGTAAAAAAAATTTAAAAAAAGCAAAACACTGCTAACAGTCTAATATAAGTTTAACCTTTAAGAGAGTCCTCATTTTCCAAAACGAAACAAGACTGAACGATAACTAATTTAAGCTGATTAATGATTCATCAGGACCATTTAGAAGTGCAGACTGAATGAAGTATGCAAGACGGAGTGAATGTTTAAGCTTTGATTGATTTAAATATTTGCTCTTCTTTGATCAGTAAAGTGGGAATGGTTACGACTTTTTGCTTCTTGTGTTTGAACTGACAAGATGCTGTCAGTGCTTACAAAATACCTCGAGCGCCTGACTTTGTCTCTGCAGAACCTTTACTCCTGGAACCGTAAACTAACAGTGTATAACTCAGATGCACTCGCTGCTTTGCAATCCTTGAACAGTGATAAGAAAGGCAGAGGTTAGGTTATCAGTTATCAGGCTGTGACACTGCAGTATTTCACTACTTTTTCATTTTTACCTCCCACTTCTTTTTTTTTTTCTCTCTCTCTCTCTATTTTCTGTCCTGTGCTGGGTCCCGGCTCATCACCTTCTTCCTCTCTTCCCACTCTTCTGGAGTTCTCTCATCTTTTTTCACCCACCCCCCCACCCCCTGCTGCATCCTCTCCCCATCACTTCCTCCCTTACCCTCCTCCCCACATGTCTGTCTGCTCAAAACTGGAGCAACGTCTTAATCGAGGCTCTGAGACGTGACGGGAATTCCTAAGCAGCCCCAGCTCTGCAGTACAGACACAAGCGCACACGCACACACACACACACACACACACACACACACACACACACACACACACACACACA